GTTAGCCACTGCGCCCGGCCCTAACAACTACTTACTTATATGAATAAGTTTTCTTAGTGCTAGTTCAATAAAAATGAAAAATAGGAGATTTGGTGATTAACACTGTATTTTATAGCCTAGTATAAGTAGTAATATTCAACCAATGATATTAAAAATAATTATCAGTCCTATCTATCTCATTATGAGAAGTATCCAAAAAAATTGTTATGATTAACAATTATTTATTGGCCAGGAGTGGTGTTTTACACCTGTAATCCCAGGCTGCGGCAGGAGGATAGCTTGAGGCCAGGAGTTTGAGACCAGACTAGGCAACATAGTGAGACTCTGTCTCTACAAAAAAATTAAAAAATTTGCTAGGCATGGTAGTGCACACCTATAGTCCAAGCTACTCAGGAGGCTGAGACAGGAAGGTCCCTGAGCTCAGGAGTTTGAGGCTACAGTGAGCTATGATGGTGCCTGGGCTACAGAGTGAGACCCCGTCTCAAACAAACAAAACAAAAAATAATTATTTATTGACATTTGATAAATATATATACATATGTTGTTCAAATCTTATATACTAATAATGGAAATAAAAATTCAGTCCAGAAAAATAATGAGCATGTAGATACTGATAATAATAAGAAATTAAAAATTTTAATTTCTATGTTGTGTGTAAGTGTGTGAGATAGTCATATGATGGGTGATCAATTAGAACTTATGCTGAGGCTGGGCGTGGTGGCTCATGTAAGGTTTTTTGGTGGCGGCGAGAAGAAAAGACAGAGAAAGAGTGGGGGCCAAACCACGTGGCTTTATTATACACTCATGGACAAGGTTCTGGTGCCCCAAGAGAGGGGGGCCCCCAGAAGTCGCCACTGTTTGAAGGGGTTGAGGCCTTTTATACCTTTTCGGCCTGGCTAGGACTTTTGGCAGGAAGAGCTGGGGATTTTAGGAGGGGCTGGAGGTATTTGTGGAATCCAAGAGCTGAAAAGTACTTATCCAGGTGGACATCTGGGTGTGGTTCCTCTCAGCAGGGCCTGGCAGTTTTGTCCTTGGCGGGTCTGGTCTCATGAGGCTTTTCTTTTTTGATCTAGGGAAGGGAGGGGGCCAGCCACCAGCCTTACAGTTCACACCTGTAGTCCTAGCACCCTGGGAGGCTGAGGCGGCGGATTGCTCGAGGTCAGGATTGGAACCAGCTGAGCAAGGGCGAGACCGTCTCTACTATAAATAGAAAGAAATTAATTGGCCAACTAATTATAGGGAAAAAATTCGCCGGGCATGGTGGCACATGCCTGTAGTCCCAGCTACTCGGAGGCTGAGGCAGGAGGATCGCTTGAGCCCAGGTGTTTGAGGTTGCTGTGAGCTAGGCTGACACACGGCATGGGCAACAAAGTGAGACTCTGTCTCAAAAAAAAAAAAGAACTTATGCTGTATATATTTTATTAAGAAAAAATTCTGTGGGAGAAGTGGACAAAGGGGAAAAGTAACAATATAACACTTCAAACTATTTTTTTTTGAGACAGAGTCTCGTTTTGTTGCCTAAGCTAGAGTGAGTGCGGTGGCATCAGCCTAGCTCACAGCAACCTCAAACACCTGGGCTCAAGCAATCCTGCTGCCCCAGCCTCCCCAGTAGCTGGGACTACAGGCATGCGCCACCATGCCTGGCTAATTTTTCTATATATATTAGTTGGCAATTAATTTCTTTCTATTTATAGTAGAGATGGGGTCTCACTCTTGTTCAGGCTGGTTTCGAACTCCTGACCTCGAGCAATCCGCCCGCCTCGGCCTCCCAGAGAGCTAGGATTACAGGCGTGAACCACTGTGCCCGGCCCAAACTATTTTTAAAAAGTTCAATATGGTGTGTACCAAATTGCTATGGTATAGATTCTGTTGGATACATCTGAAAATGATGTAACATTTTAAAATAATATTTATGATATTCCAGAAATGGTATCATTTGCAATCATTTAAAGTCATGAAGAATCTTAGATCAACTTAAAAATATGCGAAGAGTGGCCGGGCGCGGTGGCTCACGCCTGTAATCCTAGCACTCTGGGAGGCCGAGGCGGGCGGATTGCTCGAGGTCAGGAGTTCGAAACCACCCTGAGCAAGAGCGAGACCCTGTCTCTACTATAAATAGAAACATATTAATTGGCCAACTAACATATATATAGAAAAACTTAGCCGGGCATGGTGGCGCATGCCTGTAGTCCCTGCTACTCGGGAGGCTGATGCAGGAGGATTGCTTGAGCCCAGGAGTTAGTTTGAGGTTGCTGTGAGCGAGGCTGACGCCATGGCACTCACTCTAGCCTGGGCAACAAAGCAAGACTCTGTCTCAAAAAAAAAATATGCGAAGAGGAAATATAATTTTTCAACATTATTCTGGGGATACACAAAGTTTGTTCACAAGAGATTTGAATGGCAATCATCCTAGAGGGTACTGTTTGGGTCTGGAAAAAAAAGTGGTAGAGAGAATGGTACAGAAGAATCGTTTTTAAATTCTAAAGAGGAATACTTGATAGAAGGTACAGAAATAGAGAAGTGCGGGATTGGTTCCAGGACCACTTGCAGATGCTCACGTCCCTGATATAAAATAGTGTAGTATTTGCAGACAACCTCCTCACATCTTCTCATACACTTTAGATCCCTAGGTTACTTATAATACCTAATACTATGTAAATACTATGTAAATAGTTGTTGTATTGTTTAGGGAATAATGACAAGAATAAAAAGTCTGTACATGTTCAGTACAGATGCATTTTTCCCCCCAAATATATTCCATCCACAATTGGTTGAATCCACGGATGTGGCATTCATGGACATGACGGCTGACTGTATATGATGTTTGTTTGGTTTTTTTTTTTGAGACAAAGTCTTGCTCTGTTCCCCGGGCTAGAGTGCCATGGCATCAGCCTAGCTCACGACACCTCAAACTCCTGGGCTTGAGCAATCCTTCTGCCTCAGCTGCCCAAGTAGCTGGTACTACAGGCATGCACCACCATGCCCGGCTAATTTTCTCTATATATTTTTTTAGTTGTCCAGCTAATTTCTTTCTATTTTTAGTAGAGACGGGGTCTTGCTCTTACTCAGGCTTGTCTTGAACTCCTGAGCTCAAATAATCCTCCTGCTTTGGCCTCCCAGAGTAGGATTACAGGTGTGAGCCACCGCACCCCAGCCGACTTGCTTGGTTTTGATTTTAAAAAAAAATCCCAAACACCACATCACCAATAGGCAGAAGTGCTCTGCTCCTTCTTAAAAATTATTAAGGAATCCATTTCTACAATTGTCACGAAGCCCAAGCAGAGTTCTCAGTGATGAGCTCTGTAGGTAAGTATACCCCACACTGGATTTTCTGGTTACAATCACTGTATTCTCCCTTGATCACACTGAAAACAAAATTCATGAGGCCTCAATCTCTGCCCTCCTATTTCCTGGCAAATGCCAAAGCCAACTATGTAGGAGGCCTTTTCAGAGAAGACAACTTAGTCTTCCCAGAAGACAAACCTTTCACTTTGCTTTTATAAGGCAGACAGCAACCCCAAACCACAGGAGGGCTGGGGCTTGCATAGGCCTCAAGGGCTCCTTTTGACCAAGGGAAGCAGGACAGCCGGAAAGTTCAACCTTCCCCCCACCAGCCTCCAGGCCATTCTACCATTCTTGAAAAAATCCTGGCTCAATTAAGTGTCAAATACCATTTTGTGTTATACATACATTCTCCTTACCTGCTTTTAAAGGGAAATAAATAAATATCAATACTAATATCCAAAGTAAAATCTGACAGCCTGGATAGGATAACAGAAACTTAAATTTGGGTTTTTAGCAAAGCATAATTTTTTTTCTGTTTGGAGAAATATCTATTTTTATTAATTAAGAACATCTAAAATTGCACAAATCTTTAGCTACAGTAAAATCCCTAAATGCCTGGGAACAAGCAAAGACAACCCTTTCACATCAAGACATTTGTTAATATTTTTTCTTCTTTGTCAACAAGGTGCTTAGGAATAAGCATACGGAGGCCAAGGCATGCAGGAAAATCACTTGAGGCCAGGAGTTCGAGAACAGCCTGACCAACATAGAGAGGACCGTACCCCCTACAAAAGATAGAAAAATTAGCAGGTTGTGGTGGCGCGTGCCTTTAGTCCCAGCTACTCAGAAGGCTGAGGCAGCAGGATCGCTTCAGCTCAGGAGTTTGAGGTTGCAGTGAGCCATGATGAAGCCATTGCACTGTAGCCTGGGCAACAGAGCGAAATCTTGTCTCAAAGAAAAAAAATCAACAAAAAGAATAAGCATAAAATAAGATAATAAGGAAACAATTTAGACATATAGATAGCAATTTCGTTTTAATGAGCTTGGATACAGAATAGCGATACCCTGACACAAGGTACGTTTTAGGATACCTGTTTACTTTCCAACGTTGTCACCTTTGGGTCAAGGGGAGAGGAAAAGCTACTACTCAATCTGTCCCAAATAACTCCATTCTGCTGACCTTTTGCCAAAGGGCTACCGCCTGTGCAGACTGCGACAGGACACCTGCGCACGTGACGCTCCCTGGGAAGTATCCTGGGCTCTCAGGAGGTGACACCCGTCCACTTTTTGGCCGTGGGATTCCTACGTAGAGAGAATGCTTAGGGCGCCTGTGGGCGAGCCAGGCAAGGAGCCTGAAGTTTTACGATGACAGGCGCTGCAGGCCTAAGCAGGGTCCCAGTTCACCAGAGGTGTCTTCACTGCCCCCCACCCCTAACTGGGATGCCCCCAGAGCCTCTCAGAGGCAGTGCGAAGACCACACCCCCTATCCTGGACTCTAATAAGGGAATGGAGCAACGGTCCCCCGCCTCTTAGAACAACGGAACAACACGCAGGATTCTAACAGGGACCTGGCCACACTTCTCCGAGGGGCGGGTCAAGGCAGCTCGAAGATGGCGGCGGCAGCGGGGTCCGCGGGTCACTCTCCCAGGCGCCCTTGGCTGGCACTCGCCGCCGTTCCACCTACCTTGCTAGGAGGCTTCCCCGGCGAGCAGCGCGAAGGGGCGGAAGGGAGCTGTGATGAGCACTTGAAAGCACCAATGAGCACTCAGGAGTCCGGGCTACGGCCAATCAGAGCCCGGGCTGCAGAGTTGGGGTAGGTTGCAGGCTGGTGGCGTGTGTGGCAGACGCGGAACGCGCGGGAGCTTGCTTGCTGCCGGGCCGGAGCTGTCCGCCTCGCCGCTTCCCAGCGCGTTGCACCACGGTGCCCGGCGGCGGCCGGAGAACGTAGAAGAGCGAGGGTGCCAACGGTCCAGCCGGTCTGAGGCCCAAGTCCCGGAGCACCTCGTGCAGCGGTCGCGGGGCCGTCCCCGCGGCTGCTGCCATGACCGACTCTCTCTCCAGAGGGGACTCTTCCTCAGCGGTTGCTGTAGAGAGAGATGAGGGGCGGCTTCTGGCCGTGGGACCGTGAGACTGGTTAGTGGCCGGCCAGTTAGGGGGACGCCGTGGACGGCCGCCTGCGTGCTACTGGGCTGGTTGCTTTGGCCCCGAGGCTCGTGGGGGAGCGGTGACATGTTCCCGCGGAGGCCGCTGGCCGCCTGGCTGGCGGGGGCGCGGGGCGGGGGCCTGCTGGCCCTGCTGGCCAATCAGTGCCGCTTCGTGACGGGCCTGCGCGTGCGGCGCGCGCAGCAGATCGCGCAGCTCTACGGCCGACTCTACTCGGAGAGCTCGCGCCGCGTCCTTCTCGGCCGCCTGTGGCGCCGGCTGCACGGCCGCCCTGGCCATGCCTCTGTCTTGATGGCGGCGCTCGCCGGCGTGTTCGTGTGGGACGAGGAGAGGATCCAGGAGGAGGAGTTGCAGAGGTGGGTTCTGCAGCGAACTGGTTCTGTGCGGTGCAGTCGGGGGCGGCCAGGCGGGAGGTTGGGTGGTGTGTACCCTTGGGCCTGCACTGTGTTCAGCATCTCCTGTTTATCTGGTCGTCCTTTAAGTGGAGAGGCTGTAGGTTGAACCTGTTTCAGCATACTGCGTTGTTTATTGCCCCTGTGTGTTAATTTAATTTGTAGGGTTAGAAATAAGAACTGGAAGTGTTGGTTTGTGTAGGAGGGAGAGCGTGACACTAAAGAAACAACATTATGGAAATAAATTAGATCTCGAAGGCGCGGAGGCCATTGCTCACGTAATCTTTTAACACACCCGGAAAGGTGCAAATTCAAAACAGGTTTTATTTTTTTAATTTTTATTTATTTATTTATTTTTGAGACAGTTTCACTTTGTTGCCTAGGTTAGAGTGAGTGCCGTGGCGTCAGCCTAGCTCACAGCAACCTCAATCTCCTGGGCTCAAGCAATCCTTCTGCCTCAGCTTCCGGAGTAGCTGGCACTACAGGCATGTGCCACCATGCCCGGCTAATTATTTCTATGTATATTTTAGTTGGTCAGTTAATTTCTTTCTATTTTTAGTAGAGACGGGGTCTCGCTCTTGCTCAGGCTGGTTTCGAACTCCTGACCTTGAGCAATCCGCCTGCCTCTGCCTCCCGGAGTGTTAGGATTACAGGCGTGAGCCTATACGCCCAGCCTCAAAACAGGTTTTAAACTTGACCTGAGGGTGTAGTTGTGCAATTTACAAAATGACTTCAATCCAAATGGGACTCAGGAGAGCTGTCATTGTGACTCACGTTGTGGTAGAATTAAGAGGCTGGAAAGGATTTTGTTCTGCTTGCACAAACCAGTAGCCCAGACATTTTAACCTTTAAGAATTAGGTCAGATATTTGCTACTTTAACTAGAACTTTAGGAATACTATGTGATTAGGCTCTGAAGTCACACTGCCATCATCAAAACTGTGTGAAAAGCCCAGTACCATTGATTGAATTTGTTAATCTGTAGTTCTGAGCCTGAGACTTTATTGTTTTCAGCTACGCTAATGGGGAATCTTTGCTTTAGCTCTTCCTTTACTTTGTCTCTATTTTTTTTTTTTAACAGATATTGTTAAACTGTACCCTCCCTGCACACAGGGACTCTTCCCATAAACTGTAAAATCATAATTTCAGGAACCAGGCACAGTCCCCTTCTCCAATAGATCCCACACTGGTCTGTATTTTTTAGATACTTCTTCAACAGGAAGGCAACTTGTTATTCTACATTTTTGGTTAGGTTAGAAATGGAAATACCCCAATGAAGTTTACCAGCTTGTTTGGGAAATTAACACCCAGGCAGCCTATTTGTGCCACACTGGGAATTCTGGGTAAATGCATGTCTATCTTAAGAACTGGGACTACTATTCCTAGCAGTAAAGATAACTTTTATAAATGCAGCTTAAAATCATAACCACAAACAACCTTGTTCACGAAAAAGTTGAGGTATGTTAAGCATGATAGGTATTTTGCCTAGTGCCTATTAGCATTCTTTTGCTACTTGGCCTTTTGTTCTAATCAGTCTTAGGTGTAAAAAATAAAAGAATGGTCACGCCTGTAATCCTAGCACTCTGGGAGGCTAAGGCGGGAGGATTGCTCGAGGTCAGGAGTTCAAAACCAGCCTGAGCAAGAGTGAGACCCCTGTCTCTACTATAAATAGAAAGACATTAATTGGCCAACTAATATATATAGAAAAAAAAAATTAGCCGGGCATGGTGGCACATGCCTGTAGTCCCAGCTACTCGTGAGGCTGAGGCAGCAGGATTGCTTGAGCCCAGGAGTTTGAGGTTGCTGTGAGCTAGGCTGACGCCACGGCACTGACTCTAGCCTGGGCAACAAAGCGAGACTCTGTCTCAAAAAAAAAAAAGAATGGGAAAAAACCTTTTAAATTGAGAAATCATAAATTGTTTGAATTTTAATTCTGTTTTTAATAGTGAAATACCATGTTCCAAAGTTAAGTTTACGAGGAAAATCCCCAGTTGGAACTGTTTGGGGAAGAGGAGAAAGACCTTTCAGAAAAGGGCTGTTGGGTGCAAAAGAGAGGGGAGCATTTGGGGGTGGAAGTTGAATAGTGTTGAGGCTTACATAGTAGATGACACTTTTAGGCTTACCTTATGCATTTTTACGGATGATAACTCTTGAAGCCTCTGTTTAGCAGTTCTCTCATTTGCAAGAGCTAGAGGGGGAAATGAGATAGTAAATGAACTTAGTAAACATTTGAGTTAGTAGTCACTATCCACCATAGCAGAGAGATTAGACCAGTTGATGACCAAGCCAGGTATTCATTCTATTTCACTCTCTTTGGACTGTCTCTGCAACCTGGGGGCAGTTGAAATGCTCTAGGTTCTAATCCAACTCTTGAAGAGGCATTGCTCTGAGTTAACTAGCTTTGGAATTTCAGAAGCTTAAATGAAGCCCAGTCAGAACACTTTTAAGTTGCCTTTTGACCCCCCCCCCCCTTGGGGTTGTTATATGAAAGCCCTCTTTTAACATTTCATTGTCCAGTTCATGATTTAGTTTTTCATACACGTAATATTTGATCAAGTTGTCCATCTTGGGGATCTTTTCTTTTTCTTTTTTAAACATTTGTTACCATGACAGGGAGGCAAATAATATGGTATTCAACAACTACATCTTGGTTGTACAGTAATTTGTTAGGTCTTTGTTCTGATAATTTGTCATGTTTATATTTCATTGAGTAAAATATTCTGGGTATAGGTTAACTTATTTGTTTGGTGTTTAAGTATTCTGTTTACTTTAAAGTAAGCACTGCTGAGGTTGTGTTAGCTAGCTTAGAATCTATTGGATTTTGTTCTAGCAACATGATTTTTGGGTGGCTTCCATTATGGAGCACAGTTTAAGTGTGTTCTCAAGTGTATTTCCTTCATTGTTAATGGAAGAATAGCATGCTTGTCACAGGGACCCTAAATCATAGCCTTTGGCTCATCTGTGCTGTTACTGTACCAACTTGTCCTGGCACAAACTAATTCTCCTGTTGCCATCTTGGTTAAACAGAGGTAGAGTGTGTAGGGTGTTTTTTTGAATGTGTGCCTTAAAGTGGCATGTGTTTTTCTTATGTTATTTGAGTTCTTATTCAAAATGAAAAAGCACCACCTTACTTTTCTTTCGTGTTTAAGAATATTTTACCAAATAGGATCTTATTAATCATGCAACAACAAGAAAATTTAAGAAATCACTTGTACAAAGTGGTTTTGACTTGGCTGCTAGGGCAAGGCACAGAAATCAGATATTTTAATGCTTGTGCTAGTATTCTTTTTTTTTTTTTTTTTTTTGAGACAGAGTCTCACTTTGTTGTCCAGGCTAGAGTGAGTGCTGTGGCATCAGCCTAGCTCACAGCAACCTCAACTCCTGGGCTCAAGCGATCCTACTGCCTCAGCCTCCCGAGTAGCTGGGACTACAGGCATGTGCCACCATGCCCAGCTAATTTTTTATATATATATCAGTTGGCCAATTAATTTCTTTCTATTTTTAGTAGAGACAGGGTCTTGCTCTTGCCCAGGCTGGTTTTGAACTCCTGACCTTGAGCAATCCGCCCGCCTCGGCCTCCCAGAGAGCTAGGATTACAGGCGTGAGCCACCGCGCCCGGCTTTGTGCTAGTATTCTTACCTAGTTGTCTTCAATTAAACAAGCAGAAAAGGCTAGACATGGTGGTTTATGCCTGTAATCCCAGCCCTTTGGGAGGCGGAGGCAGGAGGACCACTTCAGAACAGGAGTCCAAGGATAGGGTCAGCCATGATGATGCCACTGCACTCTAGCCTGGGCAACAAAGCAAGACTTAGTCTCAAAAAAATAAATAAGTAAATAAAAATCAAGCAAAAAACTTTCTTTTTTTTTTTTTTTTTTTTAGGCTAGTTAAGAGAAGCAAACTTTGGTTCTTTCCACTGTCACTTCAGGGTATCTTATATTTTTTTTGATATCTACTATTGATAGTAGAGACGGGATCTCACTCTTGCTCAGGCTGTTTTCGAACTCCTGACCTTGAGCAATCCGCCCGCCTCGGCCTCCCAAGAGCTAGGATTACAGGCGTGAGCCACAGCGCCCGGCCGGCAAGCCTCAATTTTTAAAATTGTCTTCATTATGTTACCATTAACTAGTTGCTCCAGAACTCCAGTGAGCCAGTTGATGTCGTTTATTTCTAGGTGTGTCCCATATCAGTAGTACTTGGAAGTCTCCAACTTTGACAATAATTTGGAATTTGAGGTAGCGATCATGTGAAGTGAGGCAACTATCTTATTGAAATTCCTGATTGTAAGGTTGACTGCATTTGAATCATTTTGGAGTCTTGCATTTTTTTTTTTTTTTTTTGAGGCAGAGTCTCAACTGTTGCCTGGACTAGAGTGCCATGGCGTCAGCTCATGGCAACCTCAAACTCCAGGGCTCAAGTGATCCTTCTGCCTCAGCCTCCTGAGTAGCTGGAACTACAGGCATGCACCATCGTGCCTGGCTAATTTTTTTTCTATATGTGTTGTCCAATTAATTTCTTTCTATTTTTAGTAGAGACGGGGTCTCACTCTTGCTCAGACTGGTCTCAAACTCCTGAGCTCAAACAATCTGCCCGCCTCGGCCTCTCAGAGTGCTAGGATTATACTCGTGAGCCGCCGTGGCCAGCCTGGAGCCTTATATTAAGCTCCATGCTGAGAGCAGGCCCCCTAGATGAGTCAAACATTGTTATACTTAACTCTGTTTTCATGGTGATGTGTTTTCATAGCTTTCAACCCAGCCCTTTTTCAAATATGGAAGCGATGATTTTCCTTTTAGAGAAAGGAAAGCATTGACTGCCTGCCTTGATCCTTTTTTCTAATCTGCTGATTTTGTTACTATTTTGGGAATAATCTCCTTTGTCCTTTCTTCTCTTATTACTTGTTTAAGTCTCTTAGATATGAAGGTTAGGCACCCATCCTGTACAAATAAGATTTGGCACAACAGGCTAAT